CGCCCTCGGGGCCACCCGCTGCCACCCCCTTCCCTCCTGCTGACCCCCATGGCACTGCCAGCCTCGTGGGCACCCACATGTTCCCCGGGCACTACAAGGAGGCGTGTGACCGTGCCGAGCTGGACCTGCGCCTCGGTGATGGTTGAGGGACCCCCCCGACACCCATGCCATGGACTTGGGGACAGGGGCCACCCCCTGCCCAGGGGTTGGGTTTGTCCCCTCTCCACCCCCCAACCCTGCCCTGGGCCGGCTGGTCCCCTCCCTGGGGTGGCTCGGTGCCCCCGGCAAGGTCAGTCCCCTCCCTGGTTCAAGCTGCTTTTGCACTATATTTATAGGGGTGGAGGGCGCTGGGGTCCTGCCCCACCTCTGTCACCCTGCCACCATGGGGCAGGGAGAGCGAGTGATACCCTCCCTAGGGGGCTGGGGACCCTGGCTGGTGGCCTTGCGTGGCCGCTCTGTGCCTTGTCCTCCTTCTCTGTATGAGGGAGATGGAGGGGGTGGTTAATAAAGCAATCGACTCCCGATGCTGGCCTTGTGCTGCCCTCTCCCCCCTGGGGCTTGGCACCCAGCTCGTGACACCCCCACCTGCACCCGTGGGTGCCCCTATGACTGCTTGAGGGCCCTTTGGTTTTGGGGTAAAAGGAGGTGATTCAGGGGTCTGGCCCCATCTGCAGCTGTGCAGGGAGCTGGGGCAGGGGCCCCTGCTGGGCTTGGCCCCTTGTGGGGACAGTGCTACTGGGCAAACTGGTTTGTGGTGGAAATTTCCCCCCTCCCTATCTGGGAAAACCTGGGTCTGGCTGGGCTCAATCTCACCTGGGACCAGCACCAGGGCCAGCCTGGCCCAGTTTTCCCTGGGGACCAGCACTGGGACCAGCCTAGCCTGGTACCCCCCAGGAAATGGGACCAGCCCTAGAGCTGGCCTGGCTCAGTCCTGCTTGGGGGCAAGTGCCAGGCCCAATCCTTCCCAGGGGCTGTAGACTAGGACTGACCCAGCCCAGTTCTGCTACTGGGACTGGCCTGGTCTGCGTCCCCACCAGGGTCTCCAGACTGGACTAGCCTGGCCTAGCCCAGTTCCCCCCCAGGGCCCCCAGAATGGGGCTGGCCCAGCCCAGTTCCCTCCTCAGACCTGTGCAAAGCTCTTATGGGCCCAGGTCTTACGGGACAAGGTCTACAGACTCATATGGGTCCAGGCTGGGCTCTACGGGCTTATATTGGACTGCACCGAGCTCATATGGGTCCCTTTTAGGCCCTGCAGGCTGGTACAGGCCTATGTCAGGCTCTACAGCCTCCCAGGGGCTCCGTGGTCTTGTACGGGCCCACATGGGGCTCTATGGGCTCATCCGGTGGGGACGGGGGGCCTGTGCCAAGCTCTACAGCCTTAGACAAGCCCTTCCTTGCTGAGCTTGTCCAGGTCCGTGCCAGCCTCTACGGGCTCATACGGGCCTGTGCCAGGCTCTGTGGGCTTGTCCAGGCCTGTGCCGGGCTCTACGAACCGGCGCTGAGCTCTATGGGTGGGTATGGGCCTGTGTCAAGCTCGAACAGGCCTGTGCAGGCCCTTACAGGCTTGTACAGGCCTTTGCTGAGCTCTACAGGCTCATACGGGCTCACATCAAGCTCTATAGGCTGGAGCAAACGCTTCCTGAACTTATCCGGACCTGTGTCAGGCTCTATAAGCTTGTACAGACCCGAACTGAGCTCTATGTGGTTGTAGAAACCGTTGCTGAGCTTGTCCTGGCCTGGGCCACCAGATATCTATAGGGTCGTACGGGCCCGTGGTGGCTTCTGTGGGCTTGTCCAGACCCCTGCCAGCCTCTCCGGGCTTTGGGGGCCCGCACCGAGCTCTACGGGCTTGTATGAGCCCTTGCTGAGTTCATACGGGCCCAAGCCAGCCCCTACGGGCTTGCCTGGTCCTGCACCTGTTCCATGGGCTAGTAGAGGCCCAGGCTGAGCTCCTAAAGGCCTCTGCTGAACTCTATGGAATTGCATGGGCCCGTGATGAGCTCTACGGGTTCGTACAGGCCCAAACGGACCTTTACAGGCTTGTAGGGGCCTTCAACGAGCTCGTATGGGCCTGCGCTGAGCTGTACGGGCGAGCGCCGACCTCAAAAGGGCCCATGCCCTTTCCACAGGGGCTTTTACGGGCCCACACCTACCTCTAGGAGTCCGCAGAGACTGGCAAGGGCCCGTCTGAGAGGGGCATGGGCCTGTACAAGCCCAAACAAATGTGTGAAAGCCCTTACGAGCCCATAGGAACTGGAACAGGCCTGAACAAACTCGGTACAGGCTTGTGAAGGCCCGTAGAGCACACGTTGGGCCGATACAATCCCCTACGAGCTCGGTGTGGGTGCGTACGAGTACGCAGGAGCGAGCAGCGGCGCACACGAGCCCGCAGAGGCCGCCACGGGCGACTACGAGCTGGGCAAGGGCTCCTCGAAGGCCGTAGAGCTCGGGACAGGCCCCCACGAGCCCACAGAGGCCACCATGAGCCTCTACGAGCTGGGGAAGGGCTCCTCGAAGGCCGTAGAGCTCGGGACAGGCCCCCACGAGCCCACAGAGGCCACCATGAGCCTCTACGAGCTGGGGAAGGGCTCCTCGAAGGCCGTAGAGCTCGGGACAGGCCCCCACGAGCCCACAGAGGCCACCATGAGCCTCTACGAGCTGGGGAAGGGCTCCTCGAAGGCCGTAGAGCTCGGGACAGGCCCCCACGAGCCCACAGAGGCCACCATGAGCCTCTACGAGCTGGGGAAGGGCTCCTCGAAGGCCGTAGAGCTCGGGACAGGCCCCCACGAGCCCACAGAGGCCACCATGAGCCTCTACGAGCTGGGGAAGGGCTCCTCGAAGGCCGTAGAGCTCGGGACAGGCCCCCACGAGCCCACAGAGGCCACCATGAGCCTCTACGAGCTGGGGAAGGGCTCCTCGAAGGCCGTAGAGCTCGGGACAGGCCCCCACGAGCCCACAGAGGCCACCATGAGCCTCTACGAGCTGGGGAAGGGCTCCTCGAAGGCCGTAGAGCTCGGGACAGGCCCCCACGAGCCCACAGAGGCCACCATGAGCCTCTACGAGCTGGGGAAGGGCTCCTCGAAGGCCGTAGAGCTCGGGACAGGCCCCCACGAGCCCACAGAGGCCACCATGAGCCTCTACGAGCTGGGGAAGGGCTCCTCGAAGGCCGTAGAGCTCGGGACAGGCCCCCACGAGCCCACAGAGGCCACCATGAGCCTCTACGAGCTGGGGAAGGGCTCCTCGAAGGCCGTAGAGCTCGGGACAGGCCCCCACGAGCCCACAGAGGCCACCATGAGCCTCTACGAGCTGGGGAAGGGCTCCTCGAAGGCCGTAGAGCTCGGGACAGGCCCCCACGAGCCCACAGAGGCCACCATGAGCCTCTACGAGCTGGGGAAGGGCTCCTCGAAGGCCGTAGAGCTCGGGACAGGCCCCCACGAGCCCACAGAGGCCACCATGAGCCTCTACGAGCTGGGGAAGGGCTCCTCGAAGGCCGTAGAGCTCGGGACAGGCCCCCACGAGCCCACAGAGGCCACCATGAGCCTCTACGAGCTGGGGAAGGGCTCCTCGAAGGCCGTAGAGCTCGGGACAGGCCCCCACGAGCCCACAGAGGCCACCATGAGCCTCTACGAGCTGGGGAAGGGCTCCTCGAAGGCCGTAGAGCTCGGGACAGGCCCCCACGAGCCCACAGAGGCCACCATGAGCCTCTACGAGCTGGGGAAGGGCTCCTCGAAGGCCGTAGAGCTCGGGACAGGCCCCCACGAGCCCACAGAGGCCACCATGAGCCTCTACGAGCTGGGGAAGGGCTCCTCGAAGGCCGTAGAGCTCGGGACAGGCCCCCACGAGCCCACAGAGGCCACCATGAGCCTCTACGAGCTGGGGAAGGGCTCCTCGAAGGCCGTAGAGCTCGGGACAGGCCCCCACGAGCCCACAGAGGCCACCATGAGCCTCTACGAGCTGGGGAAGGGCTCCTCGAAGGCCGTAGAGCTCGGGACAGGCCCCCACGAGCCCACAGAGGCCACCATGAGCCTCTACGAGCTGGGGAAGGGCTCCTCGAAGGCCGTAGAGCTCGGGACAGGCCCCCACGAGCCCACAGAGGCCACCATGAGCCTCTACGAGCTGGGGAAGGGCTCCTCGAAGGCCGTAGAGCTCGGGACAGGCCCCCACGAGCCCACAGAGGCCACCATGAGCCTCTACGAGCTGGGGAAGGGCTCCTCGAAGGCCGTAGAGCTCGGGACAGGCCCCCACGAGCCCACAGAGGCCACCATGAGCCTCTACGAGCTGGGGAAGGGCTCCTCGAAGGCCGTAGAGCTCGGGACAGGCCCCCACGAGCCCACAGAGGCCACCATGAGCCTCTACGAGCTGGGGAAGGGCTCCTCGAAGGCCGTAGAGCTCGGGACAGGCCCCCACGAGCCCACAGAGGCCACCATGAGCCTCTACGAGCTGGGGAAGGGCTCCTCGAAGGCCGTAGAGCTCGGGACAGGCCCCCACGAGCCCACAGAGGCCACCATGAGCCTCTACGAGCTGGGGAAGGGCTCCTCGAAGGCCGTAGAGCTCGGGACAGGCCCCCACGAGCCCACAGAGGCCACCATGAGCCTCTACGAGCTGGGGAAGGGCTCCTCGAAGGCCGTAGAGCTCGGGACAGGCCCCCACGAGCCCACAGAGGCCACCATGAGCCTCTACGAGCTGGGGAAGGGCTCCTCGAAGGCCGTAGAGCTCGGGACAGGCCCCCACGAGCCCACAGAGGCCACCATGAGCCTCTACGAGCTGGGGAAGGGCTCCTCGAAGGCCGTAGAGCTCGGGACAGGCCCCCACGAGCCCACAGAGGCCACCATGAGCCTCTACGAGCTGGGGAAGGGCTCCTCGAAGGCCGTAGAGCTCGGGACAGGCCCCCACGAGCCCACAGAGGCCACCATGAGCCTCTACGAGCTGGGGAAGGGCTCCTCGAAGGCCGTAGAGCTCGGGACAGGCCCCCACGAGCCCACAGAGGCCACCATGAGCCTCTACGAGCTGGGGAAGGGCTCCTCGAAGGCCGTAGAGCTCGGGGCGGGCCCCCATGAGCCTGCAGAGGCCGCCACGGGCCTGTACAAGCTCGGCAAGGGCTCCTCGATTCAGACACATATGAGCTTTGCTTGTTTCCATATAAACCATTAGGGGCAGGCATGAGTGCCTACGATCTCAGCACAGATCCGTACAAGCCTGTAGAGCCCTGTGCCATCTCATACAGGCCTGTAGAGCCTAGCACTGACCCATACGAGCCCGTAGTGCCTGGCATGAGCCCACATCAAGCTCAGCACAGGTCTGTACGAGCCCATGGAGTCCTGTGGGGGGTCTGTACAAGCCTGTAGAGTCTGGCACGGGCCCATATGAGCTCTGTGTGGGCCCATACCATCCTGTGGAGCCCTGTGGAGGCCTGTACAAGCTTGTAAAGCCCAGCAAGGGCCCATCCGAGAGCATAGAAGCAGGCGCGGGCTCATACCAGCTCGGAGTGGACCCATACTAGGCTGCAGAGCATGGTGTGGGCCCGTACAAGCCTGTAGGCCTTGCTGCGGACCCATATGAGCTCAGTGCAGGACCGTACAAGCCCATGGATCCCCATGGCATACCGTACAAGCCCATAGAGGCTGGCACGGGCGCGTATGAACCTGTAGGGCCTAAAGCAGGCCCGTACAAGCTCAGTGTGGGCCCATACAAGCCCATAGAGCCCGCCACAGGCCCGTACGGGATCGGCGCAAACCTGTGGGCCCATACAAGCTCCACGAGGGTCCATACGAGCCCGTAGAGCCTCATGCAGGCCCAAACAAGTCCGTAGAACCTGGTACGGGGCCATACAAGCCTGTATGGCCTAGCACAGGCCCATACGAGTTCAGTGCGGGCCCATATGAGTCCCTAGGGCATCGTTCAGGCCTGTAGGAGCCCGCAGGTCCTGGTGTGGGTCCGTAAGAGCTTGGCATGCATGCGTACGAGCCCGTGGAGCCCCGTGTGAGTTTGTGCAAGCCCCCAGGGTCCCCAGACTGGGACTGGTCCAACCCAGTCCCCCCTCACCAGGGCCCCCAGACTGGGACTGGACCAGTCCAGTTCTCCCCACCACCACAG